AAAAAATGTATTTTATTTTAAATATCTTATTTATGGAGAAAGTGTGGGTGAGAAAGTGAGTAAATAGATATGTAATTAATGCGATGATGCAACTAATGGAGGCAAAAATAAAAAAAAAAGTAGTTAACATTTGAAACATTTTTTAAGTAGCTTATAAAAAAAATATAGGATCGTGTCTATCTCAAATGTTAATATCGTAGGATTATATTAAAGAATTAGATGAATTATGGGTAAGTGAAAAGGAGAGGATTGTACAATTCAATTCTTAGCTAAAAAAGAGGAAGCAATCATAGAGCAGCACTCCAATTTTCATTATCCCCAATTTTGCAACTAATCATTACATTAATATCCTACATTTATTATGTCAAGTTTCTAATCACTTCACATATTCTATTTTTTATGTGAATTTATTGTATAATTACAATACTTTAAAAATAGAATACACAACTATGTATCCATTTGGACTAGTGATGAACAATTGTGATTTTAAGTCATCATGAATTTTATAAGTGGGACTGGTTATAAGTGAAGTTTGTTAATTGTGATTTTTATTTGCATATTTTTATATAAGTGATTTTAATAATTGTGATTATGTTTAGTTTTCATTTACTAAAATCACTTATGGATGTAAATTACTAAAAAGGCATGAATTTAATAAATATTACTAAATATAATCATTTGGGGAGAGATTTTCAAAAGAGCATGGAATGGGTAGATTAGAGAAAATTCAGTTGGTAAAAATTGACCGAGATTCTTCAAACGCACAAGTTACTTTTTGGTGCTTATCCTAAAAGTGCAATAGAAAAGTAAAATCACATTTTTAAGATTTCGTAAAAAATTATCCAACAGGGTAACATACTTCATAATCACTTATTTAGATTCAAACAGGCTTATTTGAGCTCTCATGGCTTAACCAAACAGGCACTATGTATGATTGGTGAGTTTAACACAAATATAAAAAAGTTGACCTAAATATTGTCTGATAATGCAAATAAAAAACTTTCGTGCATTGAGAAAAGAAAGAATAAGCCATATTCACAAGTAACAGTACTCCTCTCCAATCCTATATATAAGCTTTAAATAACTAAATCACATTTAAGGAACTAACAGTTAAAATTAGTTAAAAAATAAATAAGTCAGAAATGTTTTTTAAAAAAAATTTGCTCTTATTTATTAAGAGAATAAATGAGAGAGGCAATAAATGAAAAAAATGATGAAAAAATTTATGAAAGTAATATTAAAGTGAGAGAGGAATACTAAATACAGTCAACTAAAAGCAAAATAGGAGAAAAAAAGTAATAAATACTCTGATAAACTAAAAAAAATGAAGCTTATATTTTAGATCAAACTCTCTTCAAAAATAAAGCTTATATATAGGACGGAGGGATTTTTATTATTCCCCTCATTATTTTAAAAAAAAAATTATGACCGATACAGATAGGGTAATGATCGTCTCACTCGCAGTAGTAAAAGAGACTATGTGTTTGTATTGTTGCTCTGTCTAATAATTAATATAGGATTGTCTCACTTATGAATTACCTTTACCCCGCTCAGCGTCAATTTATAAAATATTTTAAACAAATTATGAAGGGTAATAAACCCATTTAATACAGTAAAAAATCTTAATATTTTTAAAAAAATATTTTCTTCAACTCTAAATGTAAAGTCCATTTTCTTTAGTGAACAATACTCAAAACTTTTGATTTACTTTTAAATATAATCTTATTTCTTTTTATCTTCTATACTACTCCTCTGATCCTTAATATAAGACATATTTAACTAATTTGATTAGATTAAGAAAGTTAGATAAGTTAGTTAATTATAAAAATATGACATTTTTTTTAAAATACCATAATCATCTTCCTTAATATCCTCCCTCCCTCTTCTACTTGATTACGGTTGAGGGAATATCTATAAGGATAATTTAAAAAAATTAATAAATATGACGAATAGATCTTATATTTAGGACTAAAATCAACTCAATAATTAGATTATATGTTAAAGACCGGGGAGTAATATATTTTCTGATAATAGCCCAACATTTTATCTTTACGCATTAAATTTGTGAAAAACATCACAAACTTTCTTCTACATATACTACCTCTGGTCCTTAATATAAAACTAATTGACTAATTTGAATAGATTTAAAAAATTTGCTAAATTAGTTATTTATAATAAATATACATTATCTTTTTTATAATACCATTACTAATCATGTGTATTAGTTAGAACTATTATTTGATGAAATCTTTAATATGCGTAACTACTACTACAAAAATTACTTTGAAAGAAATGATTAAATATAAAAGACAAAATAACTTGAAATCATACATTTAAAACCAAATTACAAATTAAATCAGCTCTTATATTTAGAACCGAAAGTAGTATTAATTAGAAATAACCAACCTATCTATATTTTTTTGGATTCTACGAATTAGATAGGAGACCTTATATATAAGAGCCAAAAATGCCTTTCATTGATCACTAAACTAACTCGCCACTCAACGAAGAGTATTTTTGAAATGAGAAAGTTAATAAATAATTGTTTTCTCCAAAGCATTATGGAATATATATCACTCCAAAAAATTGTCTTATTAGTCAAAATGAAGGGAGAAGCATATATCGGATCCTTCAAAGCTTAAGCTTTTGAATGCATGTCGTGATTCAAATCAAACTAATCCTCTGATTCTATTTATAAAATACTTCTAACATATTTTATATAATTAAAAAAAACTTAAAATGTATTAACTCTCCATTAAGATATCATAATTTTTCAGCTTTATCCAAATTTAATATGGGAAAACTAATTTGGAGATCCTTGTAGTTTTCATCCATTTTAAATTAGGTCCTCATGCATTTTTTTTTTATTGGGTCCTTGAACTTTTTCCTGTTAAATCCTTTGGTCCTTGCCGTTAAATAATTATTAAAACTGCTAAAAATTTCGGTTGTGAATAAGTGATAGGCGTCTGAAAGGTCTCTCTCACCATCCAGCTTGACCTTGTTTGGGGTTTCTTAACGCTTTGAGCTGTACCTTGCCCAAGCAACAGACAACCAATCACCCCCAAGAGATTGCTAACAACACCCCCTCCCTCTTCAGTTCATACAACTGCAACTCGACACTTATGCTCATAGCCGAACTTAATTAGAGTACGCACGCAAGAAAACAGTGTTTACTAATTTTATAAGGAAATCACAAAAAAAAAAAGGTTAAGAAGCCTACATGAGCTTTATATATATATATAATTGCTATTAGAACATCAAAAGCAAGTTTAGGTCCACCGTTTGGTATTTTCTCACTATATGCAGATCAATAATTCAATGAAAATTACAGATTCCGCGGTCATATGATATTATATATATATAGTGAAGATTCAATGAAATATTAATTAATTCCTAAAGGTGTGGGAGATTGCAATAATATTCAGATCTTTAGTGGTTGCCTCATGTTGACAGTGAGTAGTTCAATTTACTCTCTTTTTCCATTGCTAAAACAGGGGAGGCTCTCCTAATTCACATATCATGCATAGATAATAACTATTTAATAGTCTGTCACTTTTTCATTTCACATACGTCAGAGTTAGGTATTTTTTTCGTCCCACCATGAGTGGAAGGGTTGAGGTATAGTCCTAAAAGAGGATGGAGGTGTTCTCAGCAAACTCTTGTAGGTGACTCACTGTGCGTCACTTGGACAAGAAATGCTTCAAGCCTTGAGAGGCTCAAGACAAGGTTAAGCTAAATGGAGAGGGAGATGTTTCAAACATATATCACTACTTCAGCGTATACGGCTTAGTTGTACCGCTTAAGCGAGGTCTCGAGTTCAAACCTCAGCGTATGCAGAAATCTCTGTTGGGAGACTCACCCACCACAGCCAGATGCGCGACACGGGTCGGATCCAGATGTAGTCAGAGCAAAGTTCCGGTGAACTGGGTGAGCAACTAAAAAAAAAATATATATCACTACTTCAATTTTTTTGATACATGGAAGGCAAAAACGAAAAGAAACAAAGGCAAAACAAAGACCCATTCTGTGTTAACCTCCAACATGAGTATGTCTGAGAGTTCCTTACTATCTGAAACTCATAGGAACAGCTTAGACCGTGTTGGGCCAAGTTATCAGTTTGGGCATTCTTATCTCTATTGATCAGAACAATCTCTATACTCTAATCTCATTGAAGCATGTCTTTAATCTCATACTGATACATAGTCGATATACAGGCAAACAAAGACCCATTCTGTGTTAACCTCCAACATGAGTATGTCTGAGAGTTCCTTACTATCTGAAACTCATAGGAACAGCTTAGACCGTGTTGGGCCAAGTTATCAGTTTGGGCATTCTTATCTCTATTGATCAGAACAATCTCTATACTCTAATCTCATTGAAGCATGTCTTTAATCTCATACTGATACATAGTCGATATACGCAACGGTGTTAATAACTATTTAACGGCAAGGACTTAGGAATTTAAGAGGGAAAAGTTTAAGGACCCAATAAAAAAGAAAAAAAACTCAAGGATCTAATTAAAAATTGATGAAAACTAGAAGGACGTCCAAATTAGTTTTCCCATTTAATATATACACTTTTCAAAAGAGATAAGAGCCTATATTACAATAAATGAAAGACAAAATAGTACATTCATACTAAAATTTAATAAAATGACTTACAAATAGGATTAAAAGAAAACTTCTTTCTCTGTCCTATAAATAGGATACTGGTTTTTGCGTTCAACATCACAAATTTTAGAAGCTCAAATTTCAAAAGATTAAAGTTACTTGAAAAAGAAAGTAAATCAAACCAGGCCTTGAAATAAATCATAGTATATCAGTGCTGCAACTAGATTCACATTCATCGGTAACAACATAAAACGTCCAAGCCCTCTCCGAGTCCCACAGATGACAGTGATTTGAAAATGAACCACCAGTTCACCACTGACCAAAAATGGCATCTTTTGTTATTAAAACAAAAAAGATATACTGTAAATGATTGAGGAGACAATGATTGCATTAGTAGCATCAATCCCACAAGATTATAAATCTTCATTTACGAGAGAACATGTTAACCATTATTGGACAACTAAAACCAGAAAGCAATCAAGAAAATTCAACACATGGTGAGACACGTCCCGGTTTTCTAGTCAAGCAAAGCTAAACTTGCTGCCAAGAATTACGAAGGAAGGGCAGTAACATCATGATTACTATCATAAGCTAATTCAAATTGTTCATTGCATTGCAGAAACATGACTTATCAGTCTACTGAACAGATCCTGATGCAGCAAAACCAGGTCTGCTCTTCCGGGTGCGAGCATTTGTATGTGTGCGTTGTCCTCTGCAGGGTAACCCATCCACATGTCTGAAACCCCTGTAGCACTGAATACTGACCAACCTTTCTATATCTTTCTCAACACACCTTTTCTGATAACATCAAAAGTAAATTGCGTTATACACATTACAGAACAAGCACGGGAGTATCATTGAGGTAGAGAAATTTGTGTTAGAAATAGTTGAGAGACAGTACCAAGTCATTTCCGAGCAGATACTTGGAGAGTAATTCTCGAAGGGTATATAACTCTCTCTTACTTAGGTCCTTGACATATTTGTTCTCAACCCCAAGCTCACAGACAATATGGTGAGCTTTAGAACGGCCAATTCCATATATGCGCTGCAGGGCATATTGAAGGCGCTTGTTGTCAGGGATCTCGCCTCCAACACCACCTCCAATGTTTATATATTGTGCTCGTACGCCATGAAGCTGCAATAGTTAAGGGAATAGAAAAAAGATGAGACTGATCCTCCATTTGCTTGCTGAGAATTGAGGAAAAAGTTGAAATTAGAGTTACTAATGCGTACAACAGTAGACAGGGGATATAGGTCCCTAAGAAATTGGATTTTTGGTCTAGGTTTGAATGAATTAATTTGCTTAGATAAAAATGAGTTGAAGACTGGGACACAGACTAATCCAAGGTTAGCAAGAACTCAACAACAAAAACAAGTCTTATCTTATCAGATGAAGTCAGCCACATAAATTACATGACATCATTATACTCTATCAATAACCAAATCTTTGAATATATTGTTGACTAAAAAGACACATTTTATAACTTCCTCGAATGTTCTCTTTGGTCTTCGCCTATTCCTATTCAAAAGATTCCAAACTGTTTAATCTACTTTCCTCACCAACACCTCCAACAACCTTCATTGTACATGTCCAAATCACCTTAAATGATTTTCCATTGTTTTCTCTTCAATAGATACCATACCCATGCTTCCTCATATATGTTCAGTATGAACCTTTTCTTGTATGATTATACATTCATCTCAACATTCTCATCTCTACTACCCCCATTTTATACTCTTATTATCCCTTTAAAGCCTAACGTTTACTACCATATAAAATTGTTATCTTATAATAGTTTGATAAAGCATCATATCATCCAGTTATAATGAATTAAAACAGAAAATAGAACTAAACCAAGCTAAAAGTTCTCTTGCATTTCAACAAAACAAAACAGGAGGTAGACACTCACCGATAAAGTTTGACGAATCTGGTAAACAACATCAGAAACAATTCCAGTAGAACCACGCACGCCAAACATTTTGCAGAACTTTTGGCAAGGTCCAACGGTTATAATGGAAGAGGCCTGTCCTAGAAGAGATGACACCACCACAGCTTCCCTTTGGTCTGTTCACAGCAGATCAGAAACAGCCTTGTGGCTGTCTGTTCAGCATTCACAGCAATGAAACTGAGAGTCTCAGCTGATTTTGGAGATATGTTTGTTTTTCCTGGTCAATTAGAAGAGATATCAGATGAGAGTGATCTTCACTTCTCAGGCCATCTCTAAGGGTGTGTTTGGTTCAACGAAGGGAAGGGGAGTAAAGGAATTTGAATGTTCGGCCACATGACTATGAAGTCTGAGAAAATCCTCTTGTGGTAAGTCGCAGATTAAAAATACAAAATTATACATCACTGCAAGTGTAAATTTTGTAAGAAGTTACATAATCGATGGGGAAACAACCCCCTTCATAACCCTAATTGCAAGGAGAATGCTATGATATGAACTTCAGAGCCACGGGACAATCCCTTCTAAGTTAATACTTTAAGCAACAAGAATGAGGGGTATAAACTGTGTATATAAGGTTGCGCATCAAGCTTCACCAAGGTTAAGAGGCAAAAGTCACAAGCAATCAGTTTAACGAAAAGGAAGATCACCAAAGGACTGGTAACACAAATCAGTCAATCGATGTCCCATGTGATCATGAAGTCACCTAAACAGTAAACACAGACAAAAAGAAATTGTTCAAGATTGGTTGATTGTAAGAGTCAAACATGCAGCACCTCAAGCAATTAGATTGGGACCTCAATAGCAATAATAATACAACGGTATCATTGATTTGAACCTTCAAACATGCCATACAGCTTCACAGTACGTTCTCAAAACTGATTAAGCATAAATATCAAATTAGACAAGGAACAAACTAGACCAAGTAGAAAGCCACAGGATTCCAACGCAAAAACAATCACTTTGGATGGTCCCCCTCGAACAGGGAAATCGTATTTACCAAAGGCTGTAGCTACATAAGCAGAATCAACATTCATTATATATACCATATTGCATTCCGCATGGCGCAGATGTCGGGGTTGGCTCATTATGGAATGAATACTGCTATATGGAACTCAATCAAGGATGTCTTAACCAAAAAGCCATTTCAATTTTCAACTTAATCTTGTTTAAAGTGCGCATCGATGTTCCAAACTTATGTATTGCATTTATAAACTTCAGCTTTTTGGTTTTTATAGTCAGGCCTCAACTTCTAATATACTTTTACGTAATAACTTGGACGATTCTTGGTTTATCCAATATGGGAAGTCAGAAAATTTTAAGTTCGACTAATTGTGAGAGAAACTAGAAATAAAGAAGAAACGGAAAATCTGAATCAAAAAAGAAAAGGAATAAAACCACACACATGAAACCAGATAGTTGAGACATGTATGAGCAAGAACAAGGATGAAGAACATAAGAATCGATATGATCTTGGAGAGATACTCACCTGATGACAAGGAAGATAGATAGAGGGAGTGAGTCGGCGGCAGCAGCGGTGGCTGCAGTACCAGGCGGCGTCCACGACTACTGGAGGATGAGAGACGACAGTCACCGATGCGGGAAGAAGAGCGACCGAATCCTGAAGAGGAAGAACGAGAAGGGTTTCCGAGTTAGAAGGGCAACACTGGAATATTTCGAAAAATCTATGGACAATTTTGTCAGGATGGGAGAGAAAATTTCTCCCCTCTTGAGAAATCCCCGATTTTAGAGCGATGGGAACGGGAAGGAGGAAGCAGACAGCCTTACCCTGTCCCCTCCCCCCCCCCCCTTCTTTCATTTCCTTCCCCTCAAAAAATCCCAACTAAACGTTATGCTAAACTTCGATGGCCCGTTTGGTTCATAGAATAGGTGAGAGTGCAATGGAATATAATAGTTGGGAATGTAATATAATCATGATTACAATAAAATTGTTTGGTTCAACATTAAAAATGATAAAATTGAATTTATTATTTATATTTAATTAAACATAAATAAAACTAAAAGGACAAAGATACCCCTAAACTCAGATAAAATTTTAATTAGGTATCTGTTTCCTCCTCCTTCCTCATCCATCACCGACCCTCAATGCAGCTTCTTTGTTTTCCATTGATCAGTTTATGGGCCCACAAAACAGCACGCATAGGTGAGCAAGGTTCTTCTTTTCAGATCATGAGAATAGGAGTGTCTATTGCTTTTCTTCTGACAAGCTTTTGTATTTTGGGTTGCATCTCTTCCAGCAAAATTGAATCAAAACTAGAAAAAAGTAAAAACTATTTATCAAAAAAATAAGAAGTAAAAACCAAAAACGAAGTTTAGAAGACTGATTCATTTTGTGTTCTGAAATTCTCAAAACACCTCTCTGATATGTCATCTATTCAAAACCCAAGTACCATTTTAGATCAACCTTTCTCTCTCTCTAAGTGGAAAGGCCAGGAGTGAAAGCTGGAGGAAGATTTTGAAGATGAGCGAGAGATCATGGTGGAGAAATATGATAGTCTTTTCTCAAATTCCCAGTTGTAATCCTTATTCTTGACTTTTAATAGTGTAATTCCTATTACATCATTTGATGTAATCTTGATGCATCTTGTAATCCGCTTTACAACCTAAATGTCCGAACCAAACATGTGAAAGTTGACATTGCATTAGGATTACAAGGAATTCAGATGCAATGCGTTGAACCAAACGTGCCATGATAGTTTGATGTTTAAAACTGTTAAATATATAAATTGCATAGGCCAACCAGTGCATCTCACAAGCACTCAAGATATTCAATAAAATGGTGCTAATTGGTGTCTGAACAATTAAAATTGTGAATAGCCTGTGTGTACGTGGGAGGCCTAGGCTGGACTTTAGATTACCTTGAGGCTCAGCCTGAGCATGATGCAACGGTCAGGCCATGTTTTTAAGTCAAAGGCCCAACCTGAACAAACAAGGCATAATCAATCTTTAGATTGAGTAATGCAGTTTCTAGGAGATACGCACTCATCAGCATCAACAGATTTGGAATCTGGTGACAAGAAGTTAGTTTCTCATGACATAGCAAATCAATATTAAAATCTTTGTTAGAAGAGATGCTCATGTTTAATATCTAATGGTGCCTAAAACATAATTACTTTAATAGGAGGATACTTATGCTAACTTCTTAAATTCCATTTGATACGAAACATTGAAAATAAAAAATAGGGACTAGGATTATGATTGAGAAAAATCATTAAAAAAATATTTAGTATGAGTAATTATTTGTTACATGGGATTAGGTAAACCCATAAAAGTGAGATTACATATATGAGTTTGTCTAATCCCATATAATAAGTAATCTTTTATGTTAAATACTCTTTTAATAGATTTTTTTTAATCTTAATCCCAATCTATATTCCTCATTTTCAATGTTTCGTATGATCTTAGTTTAATGACACCCAATAATCCCTCTCATAAAGAATTCACAAATTCTATATATTTTTCTAGTTTGGCAAGTGTACTGCTTGCAAGCACGAATTTGAACCCGTGATAAGTGCCATCAAAGGCAGCCTACATGCCACCGCATCACAAAGACGCTGGCAGAAAGGTCTTAAACCATGTTAAAATGGAAAAATATAAGTCAATCTCTTCAAAGATTCTTCAGACCTCAACCTCACACGCCTCATACAATTTATTCCTTTCGCATGCCACCCTCTTGCAAGAACTACCAGAGAAAGCAAAGATCTGGTTATATATGACTGGATTTAGTTCCAATTCCGACTTTAGAAAATCAAAAAATGCATTGAGCCAACTTTTATATGATCAGCTCACCAATGCTCCCCATAGAATTTTATATATTCCAGTACTCTCATCCGAGTTTCTTCTTATATTCAAAACAAGAAGAAGAGGAATGATGCCTAAGACTAATAGAAATAGGAATGGTTTCCTTGTGATTTACATCATGTTTGACCCTTCGTGATGTATATGAGCTAAATAGACTAATTTGCCCGTTAGGGCCATTCGATGCGTGAGTTAGATTTTCGCTCAATAAGGAGTGATGTTAAAAAATGGGTTAGCTGACACTTTTTTTTTTGGGAGGGGGGGGGGAGAGTACACACACCATCATTTAAATTTCCAATTCTTATTATTGAGAAAAAGATTAAAAAAAAAATTAATCACATTATAATAGAGTTGCGAAAAAGAGTCTTTTGAAAAAGTATGGAGTGTTTGGGTAAAAACCAAAATATAATTTTAAAAGTAATTTTACGGTAGACAAAATAAATATACAGAATAATTATATAAGAGAAATTTTATCTCAACTTGTATGAAAATACTTTTTAAAAAAAATGTTTTCATTCATTCAAACACTCCCTAAACCAGCCATGTGCCTTAGGCTTTAGTTAAGAGTAAGAGTTAGGCAACATATTTATTAAAATATGTTACATACAATGTACATGTTATGAAAAAATGAAATAAAATAAAATTATTATCAAGAATGGAGTGAAGTGAGAAACTCGCTAACGTCACCAAAAGCTGAATTATTGATGATTCCTATTGCTTATAAATGCAACAAGAATATACATTTGATTTTGAGCCTTCGAGGCGATGGTTCTTTGTATTTGCATATCTGGTTGTAAAGCCGATGGTGTGATTTTGCGCAATTATATTAATGTGACCTTATTTTAGAAATACAATGAACAAAACAAATCATATTGAATAATAATAATATTTACATTTTCCCTTTTATATATAATACTCCTCCGGTCCTAATTATAAGACCCAATTGACTTATTTGAGGAAATTAAGAAAGTAAGTTAAGTTGGTTATTTATAATAAATAAGTGTTGTCATTTCTAAAATATCCTTGCTAATTAAGTATATTGGCTAAAACTATCATTATTAGAAGGATTATCTTGGAAAAAAATGCATAAATATAAGAGACAAAATAGATTGGGTCTTATAATTAGGACCAAATAAAAAGTCAAATTGGGTCTTATAATAAGGACTGGAGGAGTATAAGAATTAATTGTCAGACCATTAGAAAAAATGTTGTGAGCCCCTACTATTCATGGAATCTTAACAAAGGAGGGCTGTTTATTTGCGCCCTGTTTTTTTACTAGAAGGTGTTGTATTTTTCAGGTTTATATATGACGCCATTTGATATAAATTGTCTATGTTATGTTAATATTGATGATAATACATTGGTGATTTTTACCCCGTTGTAAATGGTGGAGTCATCACGACTAATAGCATTTATTTTTATTTTTATTTTTATTTTAATTAATATTAAATAATGTAGAGACAACCTTTTTTTTTTTGTGGATGCCCCAATAAATAAGGCCCAGCTATCGTACAGTCTGGACCTATATTGATATTAATAGCATTTACATTTAGTTTAATTAATATTAATCAATCATTAATGTCATTTCCGTATTTCAATACATTTAATTTTTTTTTATCATCTCAGGGAAAATTTTTTTTTATCATCATTCACTCAATAAAAAAAAAACTCACATTCTCATTATACATATGTAGGTTAAACTTGCAATCTCTTACGAAATTAAAACTTAAGGCAGTGCTTGGTATTAATTGAGTCAAACCTCTCTAAGTAATACATATAATTTTAGGAAGTAAAATATTCACAATACATTTAGTCCAAAAAAATGGAAATATTCACAATGATAGGGCGTGAATGATATAATCTATGGGAGAATCTTACCAAAAAGACTTAAAATTATTAAATTTCAAATAAATAATTTCTATAAAAATGTGTTATTATTTATAAGTTTAGTGTTACCAAAGCCTATTAAAATGTTAGAATCAAACCTGATTTGAGATCTAATGATTATTTATACTTTTTTTTTGTCAATCTTGTCCCCAAGAAGCAAAAATAATTTTTAATATTCTTTTGTAGTTTTTTTTTAATTCTCCTTTTCGGTTTTCACGCGTTACAACGTAGTGGGGAGGCGAGCGGCTCAAAGCCTTGGGTCACATGAATGGTTGCATGAACGATCATTTTTTATGGATTGACTTTGTTTTCATGAGTCTGCGTGGCCAGGAAAAAGTGCGGCGCGAATCCGCAAATTTTTTTTTTTTTTTTCACTTCGAAACCGCGCAAGCGCAAGAGTCTTGAAGCAAAAGCCCAACTTACACGTTTAGTCTGTTCTTACCGACGCACAGTGATTCTGGCTAATCGTTTTCATGATCCCCACTAAATTGATTGCCGATCTGGCGTTGTGTTCAATTCAATCTCAGGTCCGAAGTTAGGTCTTGAACGTTTCTAGTCGATTGATTCCTCCATGTTTCTGGATTTGAATCCCCAGATTCACATCACCTTCACTATCCCTAATTTTCAATGCCCATTGCCAAACGCATCTAACCTCGCTTTGTGCTTCTATGGTTCTGATTGTGAACCCGTGACGTATCCATTATGATCCCAGACTGGCCATTTTTGAAACCGCCAAGCACGTCTACGCTAGTTATCCTACCCCGTGATCATTTTCCCCCCACTAAATTCCAACTTTCCAAACATACCCATCATCATCAATTCTTCGTCTTTTTTTATTGCTTATATAAATTCCCCAGCTTTCCTCCTCCACTATGACCACTCCTCCCGGGAAACCACAATCCTCCTTCTTTCGGCCCAAATCTTCTTTCCTCCTGTTTTCCATGGCTTCGCTTCTTTCTCTTTCCCTTCTCTCCCTCTTCCTCTTCCTTTCTCTCTCCTCCGCCGCTCGCCACCACCAGAAACCACCCGTCACCTCCCCCTCCTCCGGCTCTTCTGCTGTCGTCCAGAACGCTTGCAAGGCCACTCGCTTCCCTGAACAATGCCAATCTTCTCTAACCAAACTCCCTTCAGATCCCACTCCAGTTCAAATCCTCCAATCCGCCTTGTCGGTGTCGTCGGAGAACCTCAAGACGGCGCAATCCATGGTCAAGTCCATCCTAGACTCATCGGCATCCAGCGTCAACCGCACCACCGCTTGCAAGGTCTGCATGGAGGTGCTCCGTCTCTCCGACTACCGCATCGGTATGGCCAATGACGCGCTGCCGCGTGGCAGGAACAAGGACGCTCGCGCATGGATGAGCGCCGCCCTGCTCTACCAGTACGACTGCTGGTCCGCTCTGAAGTACGCCAACGATACTCGCCAGGTCGGTGAGGCGATGGCCTTCTTGGACTCACTTACCAGGATCTCCAGCAACGCGTTGAGCATGATGGCGTCGTACGACGTCGTTGGAAAAGACATTGCGTCGTGGAGGCCACCTTTAACGGAGCGCAATGGGTTCTGGGAGGGATCCAGGTCGGGTTCTGGGTCGTTGGGTTTCAGGGGTGGGTTTCCGGCGAAAGTGAAGCCGGATGCTACAGTGTGTAAGGATGGAGGGAATGGGTGTTACAAGACGGTGCAGGAGGCTGTTAACGCTGCTCCGGAAAACGCGGGTGACAAGAAATTTGTGATATACATAAAGGGAGGTGTTTATGAAGAGACTGTTAGGGTTCCGTTGGAGAAGAAGAACGTGGTGTTTTATGGGGACGGAATGGGGAAGACCATCATCACTGGGTCTGCTCAAGCGGATCAACCGGGAATGACGACATACCTTTCAGCTACTGTTGGTGAGTTTCGTTGTTTCAGGTTTCAATTGGAAGTATCCTTTTCATCCCCTCTTCTATGGAATCTTGAACTTGTTTTATACTCAATTTTTTTATAATATTAATTGGAGTTTTTTCCCCTCTTTTTTTCTCTGTTTTTAATATCCATTGGGATTGGAATATTATAGCTCTATGAACTTTTGGGAGTTTCCCTTTGAAGATTTTGGATTCTGCGGGTTGTTAGTTCACTTCCTGAGATCACTTGTGTATGACGATGTTTGGAAATTCTTTTGTCATGATAATACCCAATTGCCTAGACATGATTTGATTCCCTATTTTTCCTCGCCTAGATTACCTGTACAAGTTAGATGTGAAATTGTTTCTTCCAAGGCCAAACAATTCTTTCTGATAAGCCGTTTTCTGTGACGAGCAAGGGTATGCTAGAATATCTCGTTTTGATCTACATGAGTTCAGCTTTTATATGACCATTGATCTGAAAGATGAATGCACAATTCTTATTTTAACAAGAGACTTTGATTGTTTTGGCAGCTGTTCTGGGTGATGGATTCATGGCCAAGGCTCTCACAATCCAGAACACAGCAGGCCCTGTCGCTCATCAAGCAGTAGCCTTAAGATCAGACAGCGATTTCTCTGTGTACGAAGAATGTGAATTCATAGGCAATCAAGACACACTCTATGCTCACTCCCTTCGCCAATTTTACAAATCATGCCGCATGCTGGGCAATGTAGACTTCATCTTTGGCAACTCTGCTTCCATCTTCCAAGACTGCCAAATCCTAGTCCGGCCCCGACAAGTGAAGCCGGAGAGCGGCGAGAACAATGCTGTCACTGCACATGGCAGAACAGACCCTGCTCAAACCACTGGCTTTGTTTTCATCAACTGCTTGATCAATGGGACCAAGGAGTACATGGATTTGTACCATAGGAAGCCTCAGAAGCACAAGAACTACTTGGGGAGGCCATGGAAGGAGTACTCAAGAACAGTGTATATTAACTCATTCTTAGAAGCTCTGATAACGCCCACTGGCTGGTTGCCATGGGGTGGTGATTTTGCACTTAAGACGCTTTACTATGGAGAATATGCCAACACAGGACCTGGCTCTGATCTGAGTCAGAGAGTACCATGGAGTAGTAAGGTCCCACCTGAGCACATATCTGCATATTCAGTTCAGAATTTCATCCAAGGAGATGAGTGGATTGCATCATCCATGATTAGCTCGTTAGATTTGTCATAGAGAAAATAGAATGCCTGAAGGAGCCATCTGAATGAATTGCTTCATATTCTGGGCACAACTGTTTTTTTCGTCTAAATAATGAATAGTAATAGTATTATAAATGTATAACTACTGATACGATTTGAGTATATCTGCAAGAGGGTTGCCTTAGTATGATGCAAGATTCAGGCTTTACCATGTTGGTCCTGCTATATGACCTAGAGTGGTCCGTGCTCTTTCATAGATATTGCATAAATGAAGAATGATCTGACCACTAACGTAATGACAATTGTGCGAAACGAGTATAATTTTGTGGGGTGAAATAATAGAGTGCAAGGAAATGTTAAAATGAAGCCGTCACGCAACCCCTTGTTGCATGATACCCAGGTGAGATGACACAAAGCATTTGATTCCTTCTGGGGACTTGCAGTCATATCATAACTATTTAAAAAAAGAGAATGATGGGTCCGCATTTCCTCCTCATTGAATGGATGAAGGAATGCTCGTCCGGGGACGAGACTCTTCTTGGTGTTTTGTTTCTGAATTATTTTATTTTTTTCCTTATTTATTTGGATTAAGTTGTACTCATGTAGCACTTAGTATGTTAAATTAATTAGCTTTTAATGTGTTTAGCATTTTAAAATATTTATTTTTTAGTGCTTAGTATTTTAAATTAATTTTTGATGTATGTAACAACAAAGTATTTGTTTAGTAGCACTTAATATTTTGAACTAATTTTTAATGCATCCTACTATGTATCAATGGGTATCCTAAACTCAAAATACCAAGTGTTATTTTAAAAAAAAAATGTCAAGAGATACTAGATGCATTAGAATACACAAATTTTTTTTAAAATGTTAGATACAGTTTGACCAAATAAACAAGAAAAAAACACAACATTTTTTGGGGAAAAAAACCTCACCCCCAAACGCATTGATGAGCAGGAATGGAAACTGTGTTAAAGTGGTGCAATCATGGTGTGCCTCTCTAGAATAGTCATTTACCGAACAACTGTAGTGGCAGATAACTAAAGCTAACAGAGCAGGAAACATATAGGGTGACAGGAACGAAGCATTGGTAGGCATGTGGGGACAGGCGGGTAAGCATTTGAATTGGAAGGAGGGGGAAGGCAGCAGAGTCCACAAAGGAAGAAAGTGGAGTGATCTGGAATCCCATGAACACTTTAACATATGCATCTTGAAATAGTAACAAGAGTTGACACAGATTAAAAAGGCAGGTCAGGGTTATAGTGCAGGTAAAGTGGGTGTGGATGAACCGCCCCATTTGGACCTATTTTATGTCAAGTTATGGTCCCAAGTAGGTACAGAACAGGTGCCCTGTTATGTGTGTTTGTTCAACTTCCACATGGTGACAATGCTTTGATGTTCTTAATCCACAACAAATTCACTCCTCACCCAATAAAATGTTCTTTATCTCTTCTCCCCTCATTTAGGTCACTTTGAATTATTTTAATACATGTGCAGCTTTGACTCATAACTAAACTCTAAACTTTATTAGCCTTAATATTTGAGACCCCTTAAAATGATTACTTTTTTTTTTTTAATGTTTTATGAATTTTTTTCACATATTTATCTCATACAACAAAAAAGAGTTTTTTCATATTAATTCAAATGTGTTGGCTATTGCCTTAAAAGCCTCGTGACTAATATAAAATATACTACCTTTAGTCCTTATAAGATCTACTTTGTAATGCAAGATGCATTCATAGATCTTATACTTGTGATAGAAAGTAGTTTATGATCTTCTACCATTATATTCCCTAATTTATTATAAATATCAAAATAAATTAATGTCTAAATTTTCACTTCAATTATCAATTAGCATAAAGTGAAAAAAAAATCTCTTGATTTGCCTTGGTAACTTATACTACTTCCAGTCCTAATTATAAGATTTCATTTATAAACTACAAACAAAATTTTATAATTAAAATCAGAGGTAGTTTATTATTATACACCATAGAGTATACATAATTCAAAATAGTAAAACATGTATGAGGGAATAAAGAATTTGTCGTCTTCTTCCTCTTTTTAAAATATTTAGAGAGCAGGTACTAATAATATAAAATTACTAATGGAATTGAGCTCATAATCTCTCACTGAATTTCCATGTCACTGAATTTCAAAGCTACCGATGAATTAGCCTTTTTTTTTTTTAATGTTTACAAGAATAATGTCTAGTTTTTATGTAAAGTTTAGACACTTCTTTACACTTGTTGTTACTTTTTCTATGTAATGTTAAAAAATTAAAGCGATAATTAAGGTCTCGTAATTCATAAAAGTCGTAGCTAAAGATTTTAAAGATCCATTTTCTTTTTGTAAAGATGTGACATTCTGATTGAAAATATCATCTCTACAGGGGGTTTCTAGATAAGCGAATCTGGCTGTTAATTGGCTTGTTAATGCTTCACTGTAGGGGTCATGTCTGGATGATTAGATTTGGGGACCTCCTCCTCGCCTTATCATCATGTTACTGGTTAATAGTTTGGTTTTGTTTTGCCTTGATTGATGGGTGTTTGAAAACTTTTACAAGCACTTAAAAAAATATTTTCACACAAATCTAAATAAATTTTTAGAAGAATCCTAATTAAATCTACTTGAATTATCAAAACTTAAATTAATATTTGTATTTTTAACAAATTCTTAATTGGATTAAAAGGTCTTATAAAATTTTTTTGAATATTGTTAAAAGTATAAAATACCGTTTTCTTATTTAAATAATATTATTTTGAAGACAACAAAATTAAACCATGAAAACTTGAATAGTATTTATTTTAAAAAATATTTTACACAAGAAAATTTGGAAATAACAAGAATAAATAATTGACAATGCTTAATATAATATTTTATACTAACTCTAATACGTCGATAAGAAATTTATAGGAATAGGGACTTTTTTTTTTAATAATGGGAACGGGGACCTTTTAATTACTTAATTCCAATACCATTAAATTAATAATTTTTTTAAAGAAAATATTTTTCTTATAATTAAAAAATTAGAATCTCAATGCATTTCTAGATTTCAGCATCAAATTTGTTATTTTTTTCTTAAGTGCTTTGTTATATCTACCGTATAGAGGTTCTCGTCATGTTATATTTTATAATCTTATTACTAAAATTCATACTAATAATTAATATGAAATTGCATTAGAAATCTAAATAATTTTTCCAACGTTTGATGGGACAAATGAAGTAATATGAACTACTTAATATAAATTTATATGAAAAAAATCATAGAATGCATTAAAACCGATAGATCATCTGGCAGCATCTCCAAAAAGAAGAAGAAGAAGAAGAAGAAGAAGAAGCTAGGTCATAAATTGATTGGAACAATTACCAATTTGTTAACTTAAAGGGGTATTTTAGCCTTTTAATAGCATTGAAAAATTCCTAATAAGACCCCTTGACTTAATTAGAGATTTATTCAAAATACAGGCTTTAATTTGGATTTTGATATTTCAACCGGGTTTAATTGAGATTCTTCCTAAAAATTTTTTTTTATATTTATTTTAGACTTTATAAGATTATTTTTAAAAAGATAATATAAACACTTTGAGTTGTTTTGTTTTGGTGTATTTTAGACTTTGTGTGTTGTTTTTTCATTAATGAAATTTTCGTTCACCAAGAAAAGAAACAAGATCGATTTTCTTTTCTAAAAAGTATAGGAATAAAACACTACTAGTGATTTTTCAAATTATAAGTTTACACATTTTAAGGTAACAATGTGATTTTTCTTTATGATAATGTTGCTGATTTGATTTGGCACCTTTAATGCTTTTTATTTTAATGCAAAATAAGTCAACCCAGAGCAGATAATCATTGGCAGTTAAGTTACGGACAACAGAAGGAAACATAGACTACCCCTCGTCCATGGGTTCAGCTGGCGAAGGGGTCGGATACTCTCACTAAAAGGAGAGGGTTCGACCCTGAGGAGTACCACTTTGTTGTGGCTCCAGTCGCGACGCTGGGGGAGGTATCTCCATAGTGTAGTGAAGCTGGATGATTCCTACCTATTGGGTCAGAACAGAAAAAGGGCTTGCTTGGTTTGCCACTGTGTCCGTAGAGACAGGTCCCAATAGATCAAGCGTTAGGTGCCCTGCCCTTGGATCATGGGTGAGCCCAACCCCTTTTCTAAAATTCTGTCACAAAAAAAAAAGAAGGAAACATAAACTATTTGGAAAAGAAATTAAATAAACACCAATTTCTTAACCATATTTTAAAAAAATTATCAAGCACGATCAGAGTGAATGCCTGAAAACCCGATTCACTCGCGCCATCCTCGGAGCGACGGGTCTTGGGCTTGGCTACTATGCTTACTAGCCTATTAACTAAATCTATTTCTGAAATGAACGGGATTGGGTCCGACAAAAAAATTAATCTATCATAATATGACGAACCAAGATTTGAATTCCTGCTGGGAGAGGTATTTACATTTAGTGCCTGATGGTATCTCAAATAGAATTGCCTCCAATAGGAGGATATCTATGCTTTTACAAAAAAAAAAAAAATCTATTTCTACATGGCCCTCCCTGATTGGCTCTCACAAATGGATGTGGATCAATAGGAGTTGGGTATAGTAAAAAAAAAAATCTAATGCAACTTGACAAATTAAGATTCAAATTTCTGTGAGGAGAGGTATCCACGCTTAGTTTCTGATAGTATCTCAAATAGAATTATTCCTAATAGAAAGATATCTATGCCGAGGGAGAAAAAATGGAGGTGGACTAGAGGGAGAAAAAGGATAATGCTAGAAGATGAGGATATTAACAGACCTGAATCTTGGGTTAAACTGGGTAAGTCTGCGAAAAAAAATCTTCAAAATCAAAATCCCAAATAAAATTAAGTGCTTCCTTTGGAGATCAAAACATTTTTTTTTAATTTTTTATTTTCAATTTGAAGTTGAATGATTGGCAAAAGGCTACTGTAGCTACTACTCTATTGCAAATTTGCAGTAGTAGATGTGCTGGGATCTATGAACATGTGAAATAGTCTCAAGAAAGAGTTAGATGAGGTAATTTTTGAATAATATTGCAAGACTTTAATTAATTGTATTTCGAATAATGGTTCTGGTGGTGAGTAGAATTGTGATATTTTCACTGAAAACATCCTTAAAGCAAGGAAATTAATTCGGAATCTTCAGTTTGTTTGGATTCAGGGGAACAGAACTTGGTTGTGGATTGGCTCGCCAAGACTTCAATAAAGGAGATATGTCTGTCAATTAATATG